CTTCATGTTAGAATAGGTAATAACTCTATTTCCTAGTAAAACGAGGCAATGAAGGGTGGCATACAAATTTTGAGTGGCTAATTGGAAAGGGGAACCAACATACTTTTGTATGGTTTTGGCCAGGAGAATGGATTGGGGAGAAAATTAAGAGATCAGGCCCAAGAAAACTAGGGAGACTGATGTCCATCCTGATTTCCTCTTGAATGAACTCCAGGCATTCAGTTATCTGTTCATCTGCATCATCTAAATTACTTTAATTCAGAGTAAGCCTGCTGAAAATACCATATGCTTATTTTTCAAAAATGTTATCTGTTTTCTAACTCTCCTACCCTGTGCCTGCTAATTTTTAGGTTAATAGAGTCAAAAGGAAAGTTGACAGCCTTATGAAGTCATAGTCCCTGGAGTGTCCAATCACTGTATAATGAATCTAATATTTAATAGTTTCAGACATCTGTCATACCCACAGTCCCCTTCTTGAAGAAGTGCCCAGCTAAATGTAAAATTTCTTTTGAGTCTTAACATTTTTAAAGAAGCAAATTTTGCTTGTTATTCTATAATATACAAAAATATTGCAAAAATGCCTCAAATGCCTCAAGGGACTTTCTCAATTAGTCCCTCAATAATCTACCAAATTGGAAAAAAAACCCCAACAAAACTTACCTTAAGAAAACTAGAGAGAAATTGCCCTGGCTGGTGTAGCTCAGTAGATTGAGTGTGGGCTGAGAACTTAAGGGCCAGCGGTTGGATTCACAGTCTGGACACACGCCTGGGTTGCACACCAGGTCCCCGGGGGAGGGGGGGGGCGGGGCATGTGACAGACAACCACACATTGATGTGTCTCTCCCTCTCTTTCTCTCTCCCTTCCCCGCTCTCTAAAAACAAACAAATAAAACCCTAAAAAAAATTTTCATTTTAAAATGTTTAAAAAGAAAACTAGAAAAAAAATCAATGTGAACATAAAACCTTAAAAAGAAAGGTTTTGAGTTCTGGTACCACTTAAACTTAGACCAGTAACAGTAGTTCTTTTACCCAACATGGACTCTCAGGTATAACGTAAGTCTCCTGTTTTTTGTCTCTTATTCAATAACAAGAAGGAAAGAAGGGAAGTGAAGACAAGAAAAAAGAAAAGAAGGGTTCCTGAATAATAGCTGACTCAATGTCTTACAAGAGAAAAGTATGTTTGATTAGATGTGGAACCTTCTGCTGTTGCCAAAACGTCAGTTTCCAAAAAAATATCACGGGGACTGTGATGAAAAGATTCCTTTTAAGACTCTCCTAAAAGGGGCTCTCAACAACCCTGTAATGAAAATTTATGCAACAACATATTATATTTCTCCTGCCATCCTCCTTTTACTATGAAGTCTGACAACCCTCAGTACGTTCAAACATTGAAAAATGTTTTAAGCCCATAATGACAAGAGAGAAAAAAAAATGAAGTACACAGAAAAGGTTGAATTTCAAAAGCTTTTTCCTTGTCATAATTAGTGAGTGATTCTGCAGGGTCTGGCACAAATAACACCCCTTTTTATTACAAAATCATAAGCATGTAATTCTGTAACATAACAATATCACACTGAAGCACACGATATGACATTTTAGGTGAAATGCTCAAATTAAATTATAAATTACTACACCCATATTATTACCCTACCAACCATATTCAAGCAGGCACTACATCTGCTGGACCATGTATATGCATTTTTTCTTACCCTAGTATTTATATTTTCTTATTCTACTACCTATATATGATCTAATTAATGTACTTGTTTCCATCTGCACCATCTGAACAGTATAAACTTAGCGAACTTTTAAGAAGCCAGTCTCAGAACAAGGAAACAGTGTATCAACACCATGGAAGGAGCATCACATCTGTGGCTTCTTCACACAGTAACCCAAGATTTAAGGGTATTTCTATCATGCATGCAAAGCCAAGTAGAGATGGGGTACAATAAAATAATAAATAAGCTGAATGTCACAAAGAACTCATTGCATACTCAACCCATCATCACCTAGGAAATTAACATTTCATTAACACATTAAATCCCTCATGATAGCCCGGTAAGCTGTAATGACACTGCAGGCCACGCAAAACTTAAAGCAGACACAATGTCCAATCAAGAAACTAAATTACAAAATTAAAAATCTATATTAAAAGAGAAATTTACATGTCAATAAAGTATACAAGGGCATTCAAGTGCCATGATCAAAGGCTCAGGTTCTAATGATTTTTTATTGTGCAGCCAAGTCCCAGGTGCCAACCAAGAATTAATTGAGAACTCAGGCTTAAAGCTAGTCTGTGCTTTCGTTGTTTCTCAAATATGATTTGGCATGTTGTGCCCTATCTCCCTTTTCTTCCTTAAATTTTGCTAGAGGTTTATCAACTTTATTAATCCCCAAAGTAAACTACTGGGTTTGTTAATTTCCTTCATTATACATTCATTTTATGTTCTAATATATATAAATTTATATTTGAGTTCTTATTCTTACTATTTCCTAATTTTTGCTTTCTTTGGGTTTCAGTATACTTTTTCTTGACTTCTTGAGATGAATAAACAGATCATTAATTTTTTAGCACTCTTCTTTTTACTAGCATATGCACTTATGGCTACATAATTTCTTCAGCTTCAGTTTTAGCAACATTCCACATTTTGATATTTTCATTATCATTCAGTTCAAAATATGTTTAATTTCCATTGTAATTTCTTCCTTGATTCAATAGTTATTCATGAGTACACTGCTTAAATTCCAAATATTGGAATATTTCAAACTATGTTTTTGTTATTGACTTCTAGCTGAATTCCACTGTGATCAGAAAACATACAGTATTATTTCAATGCTCTGAAACTTACTGAAATTCCCTCTGTGGTCCAGAATATGATCTGTTTGGATAAATGGCATATATGCATCTGTAAATAATATATACTATAGTTGTAAAGAACACTGTGCTATATATATTAATTATGTCACATTAGTCAATCACACTGTTCAAATAGATACCTTACTGGGTTTTTATTGTTTTATCAGCTATTGAGAGCAGTGCTAAAAATCCCCCACTATTATTGAGATTTGTCTATTACTTCTTTTAGTTCGGTCAAACATATTTGAAGTCATTTTATGAAGGTATGTACATTTAGAACTGTAATATCTTACTGATGGTGTAACCTTTATATTATTAACTATTACTCTTTATCTCTAGTAAAACTTCTTGTCATGAAGTTTATTCTCATACAATGAAGTCAAGAGTGTAAATTAATACAACCATTTTGAAAACTGTTAGTATATATTAAAGCTGAATATGTGCCTAACCTATGACATAGAAATTTACTTCTACAGATATACCCAATAGAAATGCATTCATATGTACCCCAAAAGACATGTACAAGTATGCTCATAGAAGCCTTGTCCATAATAGCCCCAATTTGAAAATAACCCAAATGGCAATCAATAAGGGCATGAATAACTAAACTGTGGTATGTTCATGCAAGAGAATTTTAAACAATAATAATAAATGACTTACAACTAGGTGATGCAACATAGATGAATAACATTTTCATACTACATCATATTATTACATAATACATTCATGTTACATGTGAAACTTAATGTTGAACAAAAGAAATCAAACACAAAAGAGATAGTGTGTGATTCTATTTATATAAAGAACAGGTAAAATTCACCTATGACCATAGAACACAGAATAATGATTAACTTTGGGAGTGGTGGGTAGTGAGTAGACAGGACAAGAATCAGGCTTCTGGAATGTTGGTAACGTTCTATGTCATCTGATTTTAAGTTCTGGTTAAATGAATATGCTCATTTTATAAAATTTATCAGACATATACTTTGAATCCTGTACTTTGGGGAACATATGTTACACTTTTAAAACCATATGATACACATTATATCTTCAGATTCATCAAAATTTAAACAAGTAACCAAGTATTAGAATACAGGATGACTGGTACAAACATATTGAAAATCAGTTCAGCAATATCTAGGAAATTTAAAGATACACATATATCGTAAAGCCCAGCAATCCCAGTCACATGTTTATGCCCTAGGAAAGCATCTATATGTGCACCAAGATACTTATAAATATATACGTTCAAAGCAGTCCTTCCAAAGTAGCCAAAAACTGGAAACAACAAACATCCAAATTATAGCTATATGTAGTAACTCACAACAAGAGTGATCCTAAAGAAATATAATATTGTGTAAGAAAAGCAAGACTCAAAACAACATTACATGCAGAATTTTATTTCTACGAAGGTAAATGTAAAAACTAAACTATATCTTTTAGGAATGTGTAAATGTGTGGTAAACTATTTTAAAAAATAATTACTACCTTAAAGTCAGGAAAAAAATTTGTCTAAAGAGGTGAAGAGAATAGGGGTTTTTTTCCTGTGTATAGGACTAACTGGGGTTTCTGGAGTGCTTATGCAAGTTTTTGTTATACAGAGTTTCTCTTTATACTTACTTCTTAAACTATATACTTATATTTTAAGCACTTTTGTGCATGTATGTGCATTTAATATTCAGGAATTTTTTTAAAAAATGAAAAAGAAACTATACAATAGCAACAAATAACTTTTAGTGAAAACATAAGCTATGAAATGGTAAATACTGTAAGACTCCAATAATGTACATGATATGTGCATAGGAAACTTATTAGAAGGAAATAGATCAAAATATTGACGGGCTATACTCTTTGTAACTTCCTATTTTCCACATTCTTTAAAACAATCATGTTTTGTGGTGTGTGCATGTGTGTATTTAACAAGCAAAAACTTAGCGCACAGAAATAACTAAGCAATTTCCTAAATTAATATGCAAACATTATGTAGTAGAAAATGAGGGTGTATAGTGGGATCTGTGTGTCCGCCCTCAGGGCTTCTCATTATTTTCTTAAGTGCTAATTTGTAGATAGAGGACATTTAATGAGCCTATATTTTAAACAAGACCATCCCAGAGAAAAGAACAAATAGGAAACCCCAATGAACCTTGTATTTGGCTTGGCGGGCAGCCATTCCTCCTTCTTCTGAGGACCTCCTGAGAAGCAGAGCTGAGGAAGGAAAAAGAAATCAATAGATGCCAGGTTTTTCTTGTGAGATGCCAGACTGACCAGATCAGAGGCAGCTCTCCTAAACCTACCACCCATGGAGAGAGGTCAGAGGAATAGAGGCTGTGCTGAGCATTCTGAATGTTAGAACGGGAAAAGTCTGCTGTCCAAGACCAAAGTTCCTGGCCTCACGCACCAACACACTGTCTCCCTGGTACAATTACAAGCACCCTCCCACTGCTCAGAGAGTGCCACAAACAGGTACATGATCATGCGCACGCATCCTCAGTCACAGACATCCAGTTTGTCACAGACATACTCAGTATACATCCAGTACACTTAGTGCTGCTAACATTCATACAACCTCAATCACAAATACGCAGCCCTCAGATAACAGTCACAGCCACATCATCACAGATTATCTACATTCCCTCTACTCTCTTCCCCACACAATGTCACACAAAGTTAAGGAATGCACACAATCACAGTCCCACTCCAGGGACACAGTCACACCTACACCCACAGCGCCGTATACTGCCACAATCACACACCTACAACGTAAATATCCACAATGACACCTGTACACAGAGCTCCTCGCACGGTCACAGTCACAATGACACACCTACCACGAGATCACAATCACATCCGCGCACACAGCGCCACACCGTCACCTAAGGTCACAATAGTACGGTTGGAATCCCCTCACTTCTCCCTAGCCTGACCAGCTCATTCAGGCCTGAGACTCCGGACCCGTCTGGACGATCCCTTCAAACCCTGAGGGACCCGCCAGAGGAGTGTAGTCGAGTCCCAAAGATCGAGAACGCTCACCTAGCACAGCACTTTACCAGGAGGCCCAAAGTAACACAAGCGAGGGAAGTGGCCCTATTTCGATGCGGTCCTCTGGGAAATGTAGTCCCGAGCGGGATCCGTTTGATCAATCGTCGCCGTCTCTAAGATTTCCGGCAGCGCCAACGCTAGGCCAGGCGGACAGCCCGGCTGCCCTCCCCGAATTGCTGCCAGCAGCGTTCGAGAGCAGTCTCGGAGTGTGGCTTCCACACTAGGCAGATCCCACACCCTAAAGACAAGCTTCGTCCATAGACCCCGCCAAACCCAAGGAGTCGTTTTTGTTCCTTGAGAAGTAAAAAAGGTAGCCCGGTCCTCGCCGGAAGTTGATTAGAGCCGCAAGAAATTCTGGGAAATGTAGTCTAGAGCTGGAAAGGGTGAGGCGTCTGCCCAAGTGGAAGTTGTCAGAAATGACTTTCTGCAATGAGCTTTCCCACAGGGATGAGTGGAACTGCGCTTCTGCTAGGAATTACATCCCACTCCGTGAATACTGGAGACTGACTAAATTGGCATTTTGGCCTTAATCCGTGGGTGAGCATTGGCGGGGAACCTGCACTGTTCAGGGAGAGGAAACCTGGAAGTCTCAGATCCAAATGGCATGAGGGAGAGCTCACAATGAAGCTGAAGGGGATGGGCTATACCCACATGCGTTTCTGTTTCTGATATTTTATTGTTGGTGTACAAAAATGCCTTTGATTTCTGAATATTGACTTTGTATCCTACTGTTTTGCCAAATTCACTTATTAGTCAAGCAGTTTTCTGATGGAGTCTATAGGATGTTCTGTGTACGTACGCTATCATGTCATCTGCAAACAATGACAGTTTTGTTCCTCTTTTCCAATTTGGGTGTCTTTTATTTCTTTTTCTTGTCTGATTGCTGTGGCTAGGACTTCCAATACTATGTTGAATAGAAGTGGTGAAAGTGGACAGCCTTGTCCTGTTCCTGACCTTAGTGGGAAAGTTTTTAGTTTTTGCCTGTTGAGTATGATGTTGGCTGTTGGTTTCTCATATATGGCCTTTATTATGATGAGGAATGCTCCCTCCATTCCTACTTTGCTGAGTGTTTTAATCATAAATGAGTGCTATACCTTATCAAATGCTTTTTCTGCATCTGTTGATACAATCATGTGATTTTTGTCTTTCCTTTTGTTTATGTTGTGTATTACATTTATTGATTTGTGAATATTGAACCATCCTTGCATCCCTGGAATGAATCCCACTTGATCATGCTGTATGATCTTTTTAATGTATTGTTGCATGTGGTTTGCCAATATTTTGTCGAGGATTTTAGCATCTAAGTTCATCAGTGATATTGGCCTGAAGTTTTCTTTCTTTGTTGTGTCTTTATCTGGTTTTGGGATTGGGATGATGCTGGCTTCAAAAGAATTTGGGAGTCTTCCATCTTCTTGGATCTTTTGGATTAGTCTGTGAAGGATAGGGGTTAGCTCTTCCTTAAATGCTTTGTAGAATTCTCCTGTGAAACCCTCTGGTCCAGGGTTTTTGTGTGTTGGGAGTTTTTTGAATACTGCTTCAATTTCGTCAGCTGTTATTGGTCTGTTCAGGCTTTCTGCTTCATCTTCATTCAGTTTGGGAAGGTTATATTTTTCTAGAAATGTGTCCATTTCACCTAGGTTTTCAAATTTCTTGGCATATAGTTCTTTGTAGTAGTTTCTTACAATCCTTTGTATTTCTGTGGTATTAGTTGTAATCTTTCCTTTTTCATTTCTGATTGTGTTTATTCGGGTCCTCTCCTTTTCTTCATGAGTCTGCTTAAAAGCTTGTTGATTTAGTTTATCTTTTCAAAGAACCAACTCCTGGATTTATGGATCCTTAAAATTGTTCTTTTAGTCTCCATGTCATTTAATTCTGCTCTGATCTTGGTTATTTCCTTCCTCCTACTTGCTCTGGGCTTTCTTTATTGTTATTCCTCCAGTTCTTGCAGGTGTAGGGTTATGTTGTTTATTTGAAATGTTTCTATATTTTTTAGGTAGGCCTGTATTGCTATGATCTTCCCTCTCTGGACTGCCTTTGCTATGTCCTGTAGATTTTTGTCTGTGTTCATTTTCATTTGTTTCTAGAAACTTTTTGATTTCTTTCTTGATGTCATTCTTGACCCATTCATCATTGAATAGCATGCTATTCAATCTCCATAAGTTTGAGTGTTTTTTAGTTTTTTTCTTGAGATTGGTTTCTAGATTCAGTCCCTTGTAGTCAGAAAAAATGTTTGATATGATTTCAATTTTTTTGAATTTGTTGAGGCTTGTTTTGTGTCCTGTCATGTAGTCTATCTTTGAAAACATTCCATGTGCACTTGAAAATAATGTGTATTTTGCTGCTTTGGGATGAAAGGCTCTATATATATCAGTTACATTCATTTGATCTAGGACATTGTTCAATGCCGCAATATCTTTGTTGATATTTTGTTTGGAAGATCTATCCATTTTTACAACTGGGTGTTAAAATCCCCTAGTATAAGTGTGTTGCTGTCTATATCTCTCTTGAAGTCCAGCATTTTCTTTATGTATTTGGGTGCTCCTATGTTGGGTGTATATATGTTTAAAATGTTCATGCCTTCTTGATGGATTCTTCCCTTGAGTATTATGAAGTGCCCTTCTGTGTCTCTTTTTATGGCCCTTGTTTTGAAGTCTATTTTGTCTTATATGAATATTGTTACCCTGGCTTTTCTTTCCTGTCCATTTGCTTGGTGTATTTCTTTTTCCAACCCTTCAGTTTCAGTCTGTGTAGGTCTTTTGTTCAGGGGTGGGTCTCTTGTAGGCAGCATATGTGTGGGTCATGTTTTCTTATCCAGTCAGCTATTCTATGTGTTTTGATTGGAGCATTTAATCCATTAATATTTAAAGCTATTATTGATACGTATTTGTTCATTTCCTCCTCTTTGTACCTTTTTCCCTCTCTCACTTTTTTTCTTTCTCTTAAAGGAGTCCCTTTAGTAAATCTTGTAGGGCTGGTTTGGTGGAGATATATTCTTTCAGTCTTCTTTGGTCTGGGAGTATCCTTACTTTGCCTTCCATTTTAATTGAGAGCCCCGTTGTTTACAGTAGAGTTGGTTGCAGGTCTTTGTTTTTCATTACTTGGTATATCTCTTGCCATTCCCTCCTGGACTGTAGTGTTTCTGTTGAGAAATCAGCTGCTAGACTTATTGGGGCCCCTTTGTATGTTACTCCTTGTTTCTCCCTTGCTGCTTTTAAGATTCTCTCTTTGTATTTAATACTTGGCATTTTATTTATGGTATGTCTTGGAGTTGGTCTCTTTGGGATCATCTTGATGAAGACTTTCTGTGCCTCCTGAACTGGCATGGTTTTTACTCTCTCCTGGTTCTGAAACTTTTCTGTCACTAGTTTTTCAAAAGGGGTTTCTATCCCTTGTTTCCTTTCTTCTCTTCCTGGCATTCCTGTGATTCAAATGTTGTTGCATTTCATGTTATCTTAGAGTTCCCTTAAGCTATCTTCATTTTTTTTGTCTTTTTTTGTGTGTGCAGCTGCTTTACCTGCAGTTTCCTGCAGTTACCTGCAGTTTACCTCCAGTTTCCACCTTGTCTTCCAGCTCACTAATTCAGTCCTCTGCTTCATCCAGCCAGGTTGTACTTTCTTCTAGTGTGTTTTTTACTTCCAAAATGTTATTGCTCATTTCTTCCTAGTTTTTGTTTATAGTTTCTCTCTCCTTTTTCATACTGTTGTAGTTCTCACTCAGTTCCTTGTAGTTGTCTGTGAATTCCTTGAGCATCTTTATCACCATTATTTTGAACTCTATATCTGATAGATTGCTTACCTCCATTTCATTTAGCTCTTTTGGTGGGGAATCTTCCATTCCTTTTGATTGCAGGTTCTTTTTTTGTCTCCCCATTTGAGGTGACTCTTTTTGTTTGTTTCTGCACTTCCTGATGTTTTGCTTTGCTAGCTGTCTTTGTAGGGTGAACTTCTATTGTAGAAACTCTTTGGGATTCAGTGGTGTTGCCTCTTTGATCTCCTTGTCTGGATGCTCTAGGTTTGCCCTTTCTTCTGTTTGTGTGGGCTCTCTTGTTACACTTGGGTTTTTACCTTTTGGTGGTTCCTTCATTGGTGGTTTCTTTCCTCCAGTGGGTATACTGATGTTCACAGCTCCCACCTCTTCTTGCATGTGATCAGTGGCAGGGGGGATGCAAAATGGTTTAAGACAGTGGTAAAGTATTCTATGGGATTTAAAGTACCAACAAGTAGAGAAGAGACAGGAGATTCTTTGAATAAGTATAGCATGAACTGTGATATTTTGCCCAACTAGCCACTTTTTATCAAAGATGAAAGAGAGATAAGACTCTTGTTAGAGGGAGGGAAAGCTTGTGAGCTGAATCCAGAAAACAGAGAGCTTGTGCGAGGTTAGATGATGAGATATAGTGAGAGTAAAAATATAGTTATTAGATAAGTAGAAGTGATGTATATGGTTTGCAATTTTTGCTTGCTTTTTTTTTTGTTGGACAGCATTGTGGTGGTAGAGGTTTGGTGGCCAAAGGAAGAGAATAAGCAGTGAATATGGCAAGGGAGATTGAGGCCAAAGAGCCACAGGAGGCAAATAAGATACAGATATGGACTTCCACTTGTTAAACTCTTCTCTGGGACCTGTAAGCCTTCAGTACGAGCACTCCACTGATGAAAAATTAAAACTGTCCATTGAGGTTGCACCCATCTAGTTTTAATAGGAAGATCCTCTGGCCAGACATTAAACCATATCATGTACAAGTTTTCATTTCTTTCTAGAAATCAAAATGAAATCAGACAAAATGGCAGAGTTTCTCCCTTAATTTTCTGTATATAATGCTGTTCTTTTGCCAAAAACAAATACACCCTTTTGTAACAGGGTGCAGCCTAGAGGGAGCCCCAAAAGGGATTTGGAATGGGGTCCAGAACTCAAGGTGTCCAGGAAATATTAGAGTGTCCTCACCCATTCCCCCACAGGTGTGAGTTGGGGGAAGGGACACATGGAGCAGGAACATGCAGGGCTGTTTTGTATAGCAACAGCTTTGCAGCTAAGCTCTGGCATGGTTATTTAACATACCTATAACCTTTAACTGGTTACATAGATATGTTAAATAGCTGTGGCCATGCTTTGAGCCTGGGAGAAGGGAGTGACTTCCACCCAAGATGTAATTGGGAGGCAACTCCCCCTGGTTACAGCACCTGTGTGAGAGCTTGGAGATGATTGGCTCCACGCCATAGGGCCACACCTGCCCAGGCTCACTATGGCAGCCCAGTAGAGCTGGAGGGATATGAGAGTACTGGC